ATTTTCAGATGTAACAATTATTAGTGCATCAGTTGTCAAACTTTAAACAAATAAAAATTTCGTACACAAGAAATGAAACAAAAACCACAAACTACACGCCATAAAAAACAAAACGAAAGATTACATTAACACAATCTGTTTCATCGAACAACTAAAGAATTACAGTCATTAATATCAACCTATTCTTACAAAGGTAATCAAATCGGCATTCGTTAGTTTCGTTTCAATTTTTCGGTCGGTCGACACTCTGTTATTACTGGTTAATGACTACAAATGGTTCAAGTTTGCATATGTAATCATATCAATTTTATTATCTATGTTCATTATCAAATAATACAATAGTAAATACATTTGTTTCCTAACAAACAGGGGTGTGTAAATTACCTTCTCTACATTATAACAACAGTCTATGTGTTCTTCCAGACTATCCACAACAACTATATCAAATTTCATCGAGATCGGTTCAGTAGGTTATGTTTCAAACTGTAACAAACATCCAAACTTCCGCATTTATAATATTAGTAGACTAGATTTTTTAATTATAATATATGGTGGAAAACTAGGAAGCAGCCACCTGAATTCACAAAATAAAAAGCGACCGTTGCCTATAAACATCTGCAATTGCAGATGCGTTGCGGAGGAGACGCACATGAAGAGAAAATTTTCCCTTCCTATGCGTCCCCTCCACCGTCAAATCCACTTTTCCATCCCATCCCTTCCTCTTAAGAAAAGGGTGGAAAGGGAAAGGGACTAAAACTAGGCCTCCGGCACCACACTCATCTGACGAAATGCGGAATTGCTTCCATTTCACGCCTGTTTTCTGTGTGGTCGTGGTATTTTACCGTGCGAGCCGGCCCATTCGTGCGAAAATGTTAAAGCGGGCTCTACCACTGTTAAACTAGTAAGATTAACGTAAAACTTATTTACCTAGTTTTCCACTATACTCTGTCATTAAACGGGTATGAAAGCCTTTAGTATTGGCGTAAATGAACAAAACATATTGAGAGATTGCTTAAATAATGATTAAATGATTTTGGATGGTCTTTTTGTAAAATATACTAATACGAGATACTCTTCGTTAGTCAACTGTCTTTTGCTAAAGGTAACAAACTAATTATTAATTATTTATTTCTGTGTTGTATGGTCACCTGTGCGCATTAAATGCTTTTAAATACGTGATTAACTTGAAGTAATAAAAAAATCAATAGTGAACACGTAAGGTCGCTTTCGCTACGCATTTTTTCCGCCAAACTTCCAATAGACCCGTACGATCTAAGAATGGAATGTTTTTCTACAAAATTCCATCAATTTGAGCTCCGTAACGAGGTATCCGAAACGTGTCAGGATATTCAATTTGTACTTGTTAGAGACCTGTCCACGTTCATTGTTCGAGTCGCACGCACTAAATTACGTTTAGATGCGGTCCCTACACGTAAAGGGAATTCTAAAAAAAGGACATGTGATTCTGTATTTTAAATCCGATTAAAAAGCAAATATGCGAGATAAACCTTAGACAAACTAAACATTTGTAACAAACTAGCTGTTGCTCGCGACTTCGTCCGCGTGAAATTAATAAATGATATTGTAGCTTTTTAATGGTGTAAGAATTTTTGAAATCGGCCCAGTAGTTTATTATGTTATTTCAATCATACTAATACTATAAATGCAAGAGTTTAGATGGATGGATGGATGGATCGATGTTTGTTAGAGTTTGTAGCCTAAACGGCTGAACGGATTTCGATGAAATTTAATATACCTAGATGTAGAGGATACTCCGATAGGTTACTGACTTTTTTTGTCGCGGGCGAAAGCTAGTACATTCATGAATCCAAAAATACAAACTTTTTGATAATAGTATAGAAGTGTGTGTAGATATGCTAAAAAAACTTTCGCTAAGTTTAGCAATAGAGTAGGGAATTAGACACAAACAACCAACGAAGAGAGGTACTAGGACAGCATAAAACACGTGATGCGTCTGTATCGATCGGACGACATGCCCCGCCGTCATTGACTAAACAGAGCTCGACACTGCCAAGTAACGAGATTCTAGAAATATCGATTACATTCCCCTGACTTGACTCGGTTAACATTTCCACACTTCGCAATTTAAACTAGGCTAACATACCTTTTCACGTCACAAAAAGCCTTTAAATCGACTAAGCAATAGCAATTTATAAGTAAAATTAGGGCCCCTAACAAACGTCATTACAACGAACAAAATTGCCAGCATCGAAAATTTCGAATTCAGTACGGTGCGACGACATTTAAATTGTCCTCGTTATTAATATGTCGTTAGAATAATAAAATCTAATGCGATTTAGGCAACACTGTCGCTTATCAGGTGCGGTAACTCCAAGCGTGGCTGATTTGTTATTTTTTGCTGAATCGTAACGATGTCTTTTGCCTTTTTTTAGCATTTTGCGTGCTTCATACGGTCCTAATTGAGGTACAGATTCGCTAAGGATGCGATTAGGTCATGATTGATACAGCTGTTTTGCTTTGATGCGTTAGGTATTTAAATCGTATATTATAAATTGTTCTCCTTTGTTAATTTTGACTTCTTCGAAAATAAGCATGACGGCCAACGAATGGAATTTAAATTATAATTAATGAAATGTTTTACCATTTTGATTCTCGAATACATTTGTGTGAAAATCGACGCTTTGAACACTTTGTAGCAACAATTTCAAATACTTTTCCTGTTTATCGTCACATATAATTTTTTATACTCGAATAGGGTTGCCATCGATAAAAATCGTTGCCAGAAACAAAAATGAAACGAAACAATTTTGTGCCACACAAATATAACAAAAGCATTCATTTCACGACCGTTTGCATATTAATAAAATATGTGAAATTCCATGACAAAGCGTTTCATAGGCGGTTTAAATTAACGACAAGGATTTAACTGCGATGGGTTATATTTTAATGCGCGGCTAACCGCACCCGCTAAGTGCTGGCCAGTTATCTTAGCAGAATATTTCAAGACATTTAAAGATTAACATAACTAAAGGTCCTGTCCCACTGGCTGATAAAAGCTCAGATAGCTTAAAATGACGTCACAGTCAGATAAGGGAACAAAATCCGATATTTCCATCACATTTTTACACGTTTGATTGTTATCGGGCAATTTACAATTTGGTAGGCCATTACTCTTGAAACCTTTGAATGCTGTAAAAAGGTTTGTGTTAATAAATACATTTGTTATACGACATTCATGTTCGTTCAAAATGATGGGGCCGTGTAATTGCCAAGGTTTCATAATAGACACTAACCAAAATAACTAGGATTGACATGATACCTAACACACTTTTGTAAGGAAAGCGAGACTCGGCAGTTTTATATATTTCATATTTATTTACTGTTAGATATTATAGTATCTTGGATAAACAGGCTTTTGTGTCATAAAATATAGTATTTTTCTAACTCAAATATATTGATTAGTTAATTATCGACCTAGTTATGTGAAACATTTTTACAGACGACAAATAATTAAAAAATGCAACTTGGTTGTAACACTTTAAAAACACACTTATAAATAAGTTCTATTTTACAATAGTAAAATTAAAACTTATAACTGGAAACATCTTATCGCATAGCAAAAACAATAAAGTTGGAAGCGGTTACGCAAACTAAAGCGTTAACTGAAGCCGTAAAATAAAACATTAACAAGTTAATTTCAAGAAAACAATTAACTGTTATACAATTTTGTTTGGAAATTATGTGCAGATAATGAATATGTAGGGCAACACTAAATAGATGTCTTTCCACACATTTAATCTTACTAATAATATACATGCGAAAGTTTGGACGGATGGATGTCTGTTACAGTTTGCCGCCTAAACGACTGAATGGTTCTCAATAGAATTAAACATAAATGTAGAACATAGTCAGGAAGACCACACTACTTTTTAACCGACTTCCCAAAAGAAGTAGGTACTCAATTCGAGTGTTTTTTTTTTGTTCTACGCGGCCAGTTATGGGCGAAAGCTAGTATGAAATAAAATTGATATTTAGAAAAGTCGTCATCCAGTTTGCAACTTGTCTGTTACAAATAAAATTGTATTTGTTATTTAATAACGATATGAATTTATATATCTTATATTGTAACTTATTTATTTCTATTAATTCTAGAGATAAAAGAAATGTAACGAGTTTTCGTATATTTTTTTTAATTTTCGTGTAATTACTGACTAATTTCCAACAATGTACAGCGATTATATTTTTCTTTCAAAGCTTTTAAGAACAGCCCGTATTGAAAGCTCGTTAAAATGTTACGATTGCTGGGTGTGTTTTTTATTGTATATTTTATGGCGGGAGAGTTACATTTTAGCGCTGCGGGCTCTTTATTACAGTGTCATAGACTCGAATAATGTTTTAGTGCCTGATAACGAGTCGAAAGTCGATTCTCTTCCTCTATATACAACACTAATATACTTTATGTCTATGGTCACTCGATACTACTGTAACAAATAAATTACAATATTACTGGTGCTTAATAAAGAATGTTTGTATTGTTTTATTTTAGAAATGAACGATATTATGATAAATAATGAATGAAGTCTTGGGTTCATATTCCTCAATGTACAAAGTTTTTTTCTTTTTTATTATAAATTAAGTGAGGTCAGCTATTTTTCTCTTTCAAAAATAAGTTTATTTTTAAAATATTACCCTCATTCTGTTAACAACGTCCTTACCTTAGTTTGTCATTAGTGCACTAATGAAAACTCATTTCTTTTATTTAGGCTAATGGTTTTGTGGTGAGCAGTGCCACTTTTTAACATTGTTAATTACTGCAGACTTTTAAAAGTTTCGTTTAATGCAATTAAATAAAAGACGAGAAGTTTTATATTCCATCTACCATACTAGAGTAGTAAAAATTAAATCAAACGCCTTTCTATCAATTTCTACACTTGTAAATTGTTATTTTTTAGTTATCTAATATAAATTGAAATTCCTAATGCCATTTTTTTAATATGAATTATCTTCTCTTGTTCCAGATGGTCAGTCAAATCACCTTAACTTATTCAATTCGAGGCCGCAACCGAAAAAGAAGCGAAAATCAAGAACAGCGTTCACAAATCACCAGATCTTCGAACTGGAGAAACGTTTCCTCTATCAGAAGTATTTATCACCTGCTGATAGAGACGAAATAGCTAGCTCTCTTGGTCTATCCAACGCTCAAGTCATAACGTGGTTCCAAAACCGACGAGCTAAATTGAAACGAGACATGGAGGAGTTAAAAAAGGACGTGGAGAGTGCTAAAGTACTATCCGCGCATAAAACCTTTTTGGAGAACGTGACGGATTTGGGTATACTGAAGAAGAAAGCAATGAGTATAGGTGCAAGCGAGGAGGCCGCGACCAATCTTGTCGTGAACGCATCCAAATGAAACGAGGCAGCGCGCTCGATCGCGCCCGACAGCTACGATCGAAGCGTGCTCGATTTTTAAATCGATATAGACTATAAAGTGATCGTGAATCGATACCCAAAGACTAAAACGAGTGATCGATTTTCAAATAAACTCGAGTGACGTTATAACTTTAAAAGTTTATAGATACTGGCTGAAAACGAACAATTAAAAGTGTAAATTTAGTATATAGTCACGTATTACGTTAAAACTTTTACCTGAAATTATCTATCAAGTGAATTTTAATGATGAATATTTAAGATTTTCAAAGTAAATAGTGACATTAGATGTTTTTATCTTCACTAGTTTAGCGTCGTACTTCACTATTTAAAACGTTATAAATAACTATTTGTGAGCGTCGAAACGTTAACGCTATAGAAATGTTTCGCATCAGTGCATTGTAAATAATATATTGTACAAAAAAAACTGCTTCTTTCGATATATAAATGTGATAGTTGATTGTATTTAAGTACTTAATAGTTTATAGAAATATTTTATATTATTTATTACTGTAGCGCTATCACTGATACATAAAACGCGAAAACGAAAATTAAAAAATAACCAGTTAATTGCTATTAGCGTACCATAGTGCAATATAGATATTTGACTTATCAGTGGTAATGCTATTTCTCGAATTTTCTTGTAAATATAATTGTATAGTTAGATCCGCTTAGAGCGGGCGAAAACCGGACTAATGTATCGCACAAATGTGCGCTTGTCGATTGTTTCGCAGACAATTTAACTGTTTAGTTGCACAACTAATAATTGGGTAGTGTGCGCACCTTAGTCTTGGATAGTACACGTACGATGTACTAAAAAGTAACGTTACCGAACGGCTTCTGTTAATCGGACATTTCGCACTTTTAGTACACTACACGATATCAGTGTCGCCTCTTCGTTGATTTGGTAGTATATTTGCCAGATTGAAGCATCGACCTTCGGTAATGAGAATCAAAAGTGGATAAAATCATTTGTAACTTTATTTTCGCTAATAACATATGTTTGACCATGCTTAAAATTTGATGTAAATTAATATTCTATTCATGTTATTGTTTTCTCACAAATCTGAAGTACTAAAGGTACTAAACGTGTGTACTAGTAAGTTTTCCCAATTGTACTAGTACGGTGCGCACTTGCAGATGTCCGATTAAGCCCAAGACTAGCGCACCTCTGAAGCTCATATGAATCAAAGCGAGACTCAAAAGTTGTGCGATATATTAGTCAAAGGTCTCACGCTCTTAGTTATAGAATATTTGAATATAGAATTGCTGTCTTATAATATTTAAAAAGTTAATATGTTGTCTTTCTGGTGTCTCGATAATATAATTATTTATGCGAATATGAGAGTAACATTCGAAATTCGTTTTTATGTATTATCTATCAAATGCAGTAGTTCGATGTTAGTAAAAATTAAAATTCGTATGTATTTAAGCATGCCTAGAGCAATAGCAACTCTGTACTTAATATTTATATAGAATCTACAAAAAAATAGATTTACTATATTATATTATACATATATTTGTGTTTAACAGCTGGTTTCTTCTCTAGATTACAGATTAAAAAATACATTAAGGTCTTAAATTAAATAGAAAAGTGACATCTAGTATCAACAATATAAAATGCAAATGTCAAATTTGCTTTTGAGGTTATAAATATTTAACTTTTAAATATTTCGAGTTAATAAAACCGTCAATTAAAAGAAACTTGTTATGAAAATTAACTAAACGTTATCGATCTTACTTTTGATATTCAAAATTTACTTTCTCCATCCGTAATTCAAATTAAAAAAAAGTAGTCAGTCTCTCTCTTCTATGTATTTATAATTATTATTTATTTTTGTAATCTTTTGTCAAAAAAGGATTTTCAAACAAAGTATTTACACAAATATCTTATAATATTCTTATATAAAATCGATATTGACACATACAAAGAAAAAATGATTCATTTCATAACAAAACTAGTTTTTTTTATTTTTTAGAAATTTTACAGTCTTTTCATAAAATATTACAGATTATATTGTCTCGTATAAAAAACATTTCATGTCTGTTAGTTAACATGATTAGCATTTTTTGTTATCACTGTCAAGATTTTATTATCTGTGAATTTAATTATTTTGGATGTGTCAACACTGATTTAATGTCAAACGTTCCTACTAAGCTGCAGTTAATTATTAATGTATAACAGCACTCGATGTGTGCTTCAGCAAAACATGTGAATATTGATTAGTGTAAATAAATAATTACGTGTTCTTTCATAGTTGTTTTGTATTCCCTTACCCCTGAAACACACTGCATTAACACATGCCATCCCTTTCATTCTTTTTTATTAAACAAAGACAACAATAGGAATATAGCACAAGGATGACTGCTTGTAAATTAACTTCTAGTTTTCGTGATATTAACTGAGAATAACAAAGCTTGTAATTTTTTCCACTCATCAAAAAAGATCAAATAAAAGTAAACTATAACCTGAATTCCTTTAAAAGTAATTTCTAATGCTCAATCAGTAAAAAAACATTTTAAAAATCGATTGCAGCAATTTTATTGACGAGATAACAAAGCCATCAAGAAAGGCTAATTAATATGAAGTTTTAAAAATAATTAAGAAAAGTAAGAAAGTTTCTTTTATTTATAAAGAAATTTAAAAGATTTACATGCAATGCCTCTATTTCACTTATTACTGTATCAAAAGACAAGACTAAAACATTACAAAATCAAAGAATAAAAGACCACACCGATCTTCGAATATTTTTAATTAAGCGGAATTAAAATAATCGAATAGCAGAGTAACTAAAAGCAGTTTCGAATATCGTAATCGATTCGCCACACATCGAGTCTGGCTGTACGAGAGTTGCCTTTGTTTGAATTACAAACGAGCACTGATGACGACGTCGCGTGCCGAAAGCATACAGGTTTGTTGCACAGATAATGCTATATTTTATTTAATAAAAATAAAATACAAAATTAGACATTGATACTGCAAAATTTATTTTTATTGGTTACAAAGTACCCGAATAATGGTCTAATAAATGATAACCATGCTATAATTTTGCCTGCATTTAAAAGTTTGCGCAAATTGCTTTGCAAAACCATCTGTCAAGGAAATCTTCATTAAATTTTAAAACGCGTGCGCAGATTAAAAAAAAAACTAAATGTCTATCCGCACTTTAAATTGTCAAATTACGTAAACAATCCTAGAATGTAATTGTTAAAACTGTACGAGGATTTGCTACGGACACGAGTTTGTTATTCCATAATTGGTCGCCCGATAGAATTCATGTCCAATATACATAGAACACATATCCAGTACATAAAATTACTACAGAAGGGTCTATGCACGCTGGTTTGCGTAGACACGCAGTGTTTCGGCCACTTTTAAATATTCATTGAATGCCGTTTAGACGTTAACTATGGCCAGTGTCTTTAGTCGAAGTGATGATCCGTAGACAATTAGTAATTGCTTTAATAAAGTCCAAATATAAATTGTTTCTTTTTCTTTTTATGGCATACTTCGTAAATATTTATTAACTAAATTAATTTAACATCAAAATAATACTTTTATTTTAATACTAGCTGTTTCAGTGCGGCTTTATGCGCATTAAATTATGAAAATTGTATTTTATTGTTTACATTTGTCAAATTATCAACAGCAAATGTCAAAACGACATGACACGACAAACCTTGATAATCTTGCTTTCTTGATATTGATAGCAACTTATGGTGTCTTTCCCACATTAGGATTTTTATCCAAAATATTAACCCCCTAAGTTTAATGGGGTGGACATATATAGCCTAAAGCGTGACGTAAGTGTAGGGCTTTTTATTAAAAAAGAATTATTCAAAAATATGCTGTAATTGCTGACAACTTAGGCAACAAAGAACCGTGTGTTTACGCTTTATTATAATAGTAGAGATTTTTAATTAGGCATGTATACGATGAATAAAACTTTTTACGTTAAAATTTAGATAACAAAAGACTCCAGCCTTTAACTCACAGTTTGCTGTTTCTTTGTCTTCTTTTGCTAAATTACTTAACACTTCCACTCTCTGTTTATACAGTAATGACAGAGAGTGGAAGTGTAAAGTGTAAGGAAGATCAAATTTTATTGAACTACAATCCAATTCAACAAATCTAATCCTTTTTGTGTCGCTGATGTCAACTGGTGAAATCACTGACCTCTATAAACAGACAGGCTATAAGACGATTTTGTGCCTATTTGATTTTCCACATTTTAGAGTTGACGCTATCAGTTGGTAATGAGCATTCGAAATAATAATGGAAATAGAATTAACTGTCAACAGGAATGAAGCAAACAGTGATTTTGAAATATCCATTTGTAGAGATCAATGTATAATAGTCAAGTAACATGAAATGAATCGTGTCAATTTTCTTGTAGATGTTATTTTCTTTAAAGTTCTAATTAAAGCATTATTTTATAATGGCATGGTAAGATATAAGAACTCTATCGTAGCAATTTCACAACATTTAAGAAACCAATAGCACATTGAACAGAAACCGCAAAGAAATTATACTGGCAGACAATAAACAAAAGAAAAACATACATTGCTTACGAAAACCGATAATAGCATAGCCGTGAGCTGTTAATTAGTTACTCTACATTTAAAATAAAATTAAAAAGTTAGCTTTATATCAACTTGTATGCATCGAAAGTTTTTAATTTAATAGTACATCAATTCGTCCGTTTTATACAAAATGAATATAGTAATTTTGTGTTCGGCACGTGTGATGCGTCTATACGAACAATTTAAATACGCCTCGGGGCTTTAGTATCCATCCTTTCTGCGGTTGCCATTTCAAATTCGGCGGCTAATAAATGCTAGTGTTATACAATGGCTGAATTAAAAACAGTTGTTGAACTCGAATGTACCAAAATAATAACAGAGTACAGTCGTGATGTATAATTATTTAACATTTGTTTTCGGAACCGAAATCGCTGGTGTTGCTAGATGTAATTATTGTTATAAAATGTTTAATGCAACTAATCGATATGTGTTGCAATTTAAATGATTGATATAACATTTATTTAACCGTAATTATTTTAAATGTTCTCGAACGTTTCGATAAACAAATGAATTCAAATCTTTCTCTTAATAACAATGAGATTTCACAATTTTTTTTAATACAAATATCCATAATCCTTTCGTTTAATTATTATACGGCATTAGTCAAATTTAAATCCATAAATTTAAAATAACATGCAACATTTAAAAATTGTCACAATAATATTATTTTTAAAACAAAACTACAAATGTAATACATTTTGTTTAATTCACAACAGCCGTTACATAATTTAGGAACTGAATCTGTCATTATCTGTGGCGTCATTTTGTTTATAATTAAACTGTCATTATAATTAATTTGGGCGCGCGCCGCCCTAGGCGCTGACAGTTGCAGTCGTATTTT